TTGCCTAAAATTTGGTTGTGCAGAGCTTAGGCTGTAGGAATTAGAAGAACATGAGTCATAGTTCTTCAGTCCTCTTAGAACTGTAACATTAGTTCAATCACCTAATTTCTTTGAAATTTGTTTTCTCACCCTGAAAATAGAGATCACTGTAATATGGATTTATTAGTGCTTCCAGAAGTATCAAGTTGGACGCAGCATGTAAAGGCCAAGCCAGTGCTTGGTATTGAGAAAGAGGCCCCCCACCTCAAAAAAAGTGTTTGCGTATTAGCATAATCACCAGTATCAATCAATTCACATTTTCTTATGCTTCTTTTGCTTTATTTTCATCATCCTTTTCCTCTTCTTAGCTTGGGTATACTTTGAAGCAAGATAGGGTACGGACCAGGGAAATAAGCAAGTATATATTCTTCATTTAGGTCCCAAAGATGTACAAGTTAGGGATGCTACTATATGCTTGATTTGAGGCACATGCTAGCCCTCTAAGGTAGACAGAACTTCAGTGGTCCTACGGAAGAAAATACGCAACACATGATTTAAGAAATCAGGATATGGGAGAAAGATGGAGTAGCATTATTACTTAGCCAAGGGAAAAGGCATATTGCCTTCACATCATTTGGGGTTTAAAATAGACACTGTCAACTGACTGACAGGTAGCCCAAATCACCGTAGAGAAAAGGAATAGTGCTTGAATGATACAGAATACGCATGAATTCTATGTGAGGTGCCATGTCAATGATTGTTTTATTTAATGTCACCATTTTCATTAATCAATTGAAATGGAGCAAGAAAAAAAAATCTCAGAGCTGTGAAATCACAACCAAAATGTGTTATTTCAAGAAATACTTAGAACTGATTTAAATGGTGTGCATCTAAACCACTTTGCATTGGACTGAAACTTGGCATGTTTCTTAGTCCAGATGTAATTTATTTAAATTCCTTTAGCTGTTTTTCAGTTTAGAAATATGCATAGACATAAAATTTTGCATGTTTCACATTTTTTCCTGCACATTTGTGAATCAAAATTAGCCAATTTATTAATTGGCTTGTTGTTACACTGAGCTAAGGAGAGTTTCCTTCCTTTTTCTTTCAATTTTTCTTTTTCTGCTGCTATGTATTGAACCCCGGGTATTGAGTGTGTTAGACAAACAGTACCACTGAGCTAAGTTCCCAAACCTCAACTCTCATTTCTCATAAGCAATGGGAAGTGTGGTAATAAGGGGCATTTGGGACTTTCTGTCCTGGAATAAATGCATGGTGATGCTTGTGGCTGGATTCAGGATGCAGGTCTTTCCTGGGGTTTTCCAAGTAATTTAATCATACCAAGTATATGTGAGGTTGTTTTTTGTTTTCAAAGGCATTTATAATCATTTGGAGTGACATTCATACTCAACTACAGGTGAAGTTTGCCCCTAAGAAAATTGGACGTTCTCTTTCTTCATGCCTTCTTTTCCCCAGCCTTTAATGTCTGCCCCACCATCGTTTTCCTCCTTCCAGTTCCCACCCTGTTAAACTGTCACCCCCTCGAACTTGTTGGATTTGTTCTTATGTAAGGTAGTTTGCTGAATGTTCTTGGTTATTTAAGCACTCTGAGTTTTTAAACTTTAACAGCCTCAATTACCTTCATGGGGTCTTTCTTCTGAATTAATAGAGGGTTCTCCATGGGAGAAATTCCACTGAATAGGATTTTCTTTTCTTTTTCCATACACAAATGTAAATATACAAAAACTTTACTGTATTTGAAATTCTTGTGTTTATTTGAAATGCGTGTGGCCTGGAACATGACTTGAAGTATCAGGAATTTGTGAAACTAGATGGCTAAAACAATGACACTGCAGCCCTTTGCCTCTCAGACACTGTGCTGGCATGACAAAGTGTCAGAATGGAGCATGAACATGGGCCTTGATCAGCTTGTATGTCCTAGCTTACAGGTACCCTAAGGCATTCCAGAGGCAATAATCAGTGCTTTGGATGTATTACTGCCCTGGTCAAAGATTCCCAATAGACTTCTGCAGTGGGCTCTATAAAGATGGGAATTTAGTGTGTATACTCTTGTCCTCTTCAGCTTAGGGGAGTAAGTTCAGCACAACACTTCCAGTAAGAAATGTATAATACAAGTTAAAGTGTTCATCAGTCAGGATAGATGAGGTAATGCTGCAATAACAAATAACTGTTTGAATAACAAACTGTTTCTTATTCACTGTGTACAGCCATTATGGGATAGCAAGAGAGGAGTAAGACTTCTGCTCATTGTAGTCACTCACTGACCCAAGCCAAGTGTAGATCACTCCACTGATCCACTCACTGATCCATGCAGCTAGTCCATGCTCCAGAATAAGAGAGATCTGTAATGATTTTTTTTTTCCATATTGATGATTAAACTCAGGGCCTTTGCACTGAGCTACACTGTCAGCCATTTTAATTTTTTTTTGAAACAGGTCTTGCTGAGATGCTAAATTGCCTAGGCTGGGCTGGATTGAGAGTCCTGGGGCTACAGGCGTGCACCACCACACCTGGCTCAAAAGGGATCTAGAGGCTTTCCTTCAACAACTAAATGCTCCTGCCTCAAAGTGACACCATTTATTCTGTTAACACCCCATTGACCAGAAATTTATGATCCACCTAACCGTAGAGGGATCAGTACATGCAATCCCACTATGGTTAGAAGGTAGAAGGCTCAACTTCTCTGAAGAGTGTGAAGGTGGTTTTCTTTCGACTTGGGGGAATGGACTAAATGACCTTAAAGTTGAGCTGGTGATCACTGGCAACAGTGCAGTGAACTATTATGCATTTGGCAGGAAAAAAAATAGAACTGTACTGCTGGTCTTGCTTCAACACATATGCGATATCACTTAAGAACTATTTTTCCACTTTCGGGCTTTTAGTTTTCATTTTAAAATATTTTCAACAATGCCTGTCTCAGTGCTCAAACACAAATCATGAGTCGATGCTTCAAGATCATTAAATTAAGTTAATGACAATAGTTAACTTAATTTGACTTCTAGAAATAAACACAACGGCTACTTTTCAATATGATAGCCTTTATTAGCAACTGTGCATTTAATTTTAATTTTAATTCATTAGCATATCAGAAAAATAACAACTGATCAGTATGAGATAAGGCTATCCTACACACTTGTATATTTCAAATGCCTGAAGTAATATATGCATCTTGAATAAATGAATAGTAATTTTTGTCACTGTCTTAATGTTAAAGAAATAAAGTATCATGGTAGATTTTTAAATTTTTTTTTTCATTAAGTACTTTAACTCACTGTTTATGGGATGGACTCTTTGGCAAGGGGTACATGTGAATCCCTGGGGTTTATCCTTAAATGCAATCAGTCAATCAATAAAGGAGATGAGCTTTTAAGCCAGATCATATGGGCTTGAAATTTGCTTTATCTTTTAGTAGCTCAGTTATCTTGAACAAGTTCTTTGGCTATTCTTTCTTTGTCTCCTATTTCTCATTTAAGAGATGGAAATAATAATAATACCCATTTTATGGGGTTAACATAAAGGATTAAATTATACTTTACCAGACATAGTATAGAATAGTACCACGAGGTGAAGTTTTGGGAAGCTATAGCTGCTGCTGTTGTGGTTATTATTACTTGTGTCTTGATACTGCATGCTTAGCATAAACTTTCTAAATATACACACAACAATAATGGACTACAGAAATGGAATATCCAATACCAGGTAGAACTTTGGCTTTCTGAATTTAGTTTTAAATTAATATTTACCGTAATTTTGAAATTTTTTAGTGCTGACTTTTAATGAACGATTGTTATGTTACAAAGATCTCTTAATTTGTTTTGTGCAATGTGAGTAACCAGTGGGAAATGTAATGAGTAATGGAGGACCCCCTTTTCTTTCACTCTGTGTAAAATAAGAAAAACGAATGTTTCTAAGGATGCATGGTGACATTGCCCCTCCTCTATAATCTCTGCAAAACGCAAGAGAATATCCTGAGAAATTTTGAAAAGTTTTTGGAAAGAAAATTATGAGAGTTATACCAGTTTTGAAAATAATCTTAAAGGGTAGACAGTATGATCCATGACAGTGAGGATCAACCTGATCATACTTTCTGCTCTGTTCCACAGATCTATCACATAGTAGGTGCTTTACAAGTGCTATGTGAAGCAACTGAATGAGTATTTCAGAGAATTATTACTAGTGCAATCTATAAATGAAAAGTAGGTCACCTTACATGCATCTTTGAAGTTTAACTACAATCACAGTATATTTCTAAGGGAAGAAGGGTTCAAATCATAGTACTAGAAACAAGATTGACCTTCCAAGTGTTTCTTCCCCCTGTCCCCACATGTTATTTTAAGGAAAACAAAATATTTAAAACAAAAATTGTGAGCATATTTCTTCATTGGATCTCAGTCTGATGCTAAAAGTGACATATTAAACCTGTTCAACAAACTCAGAAGCATGTTTGGGTTTAAGAACATAAATGTCTCTATTGTATTCCAGATATTTTATTTATTTATTTTTTTGGTTTTTGTCTGATACCAGGAACCGAACTCACGACCTTGCGCTTGCCAGGCAGGCGCTTTGCCGCTGAGCTAAATCCCCAGCCCCATGTATTCCAGATATATTCCATTCCCAGTTTCAGCAGCCAAAATAACAAATAGAATTAAATTAGTCTAAGCCTAACAATAGTTCTTGTTAATTTACTGACTAAAAGAGCATTAAGAAGTAAGAAATGGCATATATTTCACTTTCCTATTTACTGTTGGAAGCCTAACACCCATTAGCACTATCAATATTTTACAAAGTATTTTTTTTTCTTTTGTTCCTCCTTTCTTTCTTTAGAGCTTTGGCAAATGAATAGTATCGGAAAATCCTCTCACACAATAGCTCAGGCAATATAGAGTTAAAGCACTGCTTGAGTTGTTGAAGACTTACGGGCAGATATTAGAATTCACAATCGCTGTAATAGAAGGTAATGTCACTTTAAGACATGTGGTACTTTGGAGCGGAGGGGTGTATTGAAACAGACTCCTGCTACTTACAGCACCGTATAGCAGCCCAGCTCTTACATTTCCCTGCCTAACTCTGCCGCGAAGGCACGGGAGTGGGGATGGTCCATTGGTGACTATAAACTGATTCTCTTCAGGAAGCTGTGCGTTATCTCACCATCACTTCAAAGGTCTCGTCAGGCAGAGGTGACGCCAGGAGATGATTTAAAGGTGAAAATGACAAGGTTTCCACCCCTCAAACGTTGGCTCCTTTTCTGACAATACGGTCTGAATGAACCTGATGTCTTCTTTACAGTGGAAATAAGATCGCCGGAACAAAAATATTTTTTTTTTTATTCCTGATAAAGAAGATTGTTGGGAAGCTCTTTCTTTAAAATCTCAAAACTGTGCCATAGATGGATTTTAAAAAGTGTTAGATCTTTCCAATGAACACGAATAGAGTACTCTGCTCTTGGCTGGATTTTTCAGGTAAGAAGCCTCTTTAAAGATTTAAGATCCAGAAAGCAGATTTGAAACATACTCAGCCCTATTTAGAGAACTGTTCAAGGCTGGATATATTATTTTGGGAAAAACATTTATTGATACCACCTCTCTGTAAAGAGAGCAGGGAGAGCGATATGCAGGAGGCTTGGAAGTAATGCTGAGAATTAAAGAAAGTTAAATGTGAAGAGAAAAAAAAAGGAAAATGTAAATGTCAAGCCACAGTAACCTTTTTGAGGGCTAAGATCTATGTGGGTAAAGAAACAAGCAAAAGAAAGCAGAGTCATTGGATAGCAGTTAAGTTTTCATTGTGGTAGAATTCTTTCAAGTTTTGATGAATTCCTAGTGCATTTTAGCGGTGATTCTCATGCAGGAAATGCATGCCAGCCACCTCTGTTTTGTCTTTCTGTAATTTGCAGGGTATTCTGAAAAGGTCCTTAAATGCATTCATGGTAGGAGTCACAGGAGGGCTGTTACTATTTTTCCTCTATGGAGGAGAATGCATTTATGTTATCCTGATAGTTCTGAAAACAATGAGGCAGTCTGCTGTGTACAAAAGTAAACAGTGGGCAGTGAAAGTAATTAGAACATGAGTGGTCCATCCGAATCTCAGAGAGGGTACCAACGGCACCAAGCTGTTGAAAATAACGTTTTCCTACTTTGCACTTAATTATGATTGTCACCATTTACCTATTATAATCTGAAAACCTTCTATCTCACTTCTAAAACCCACAAATTACCCTGTATCATGTGCACAAATATATCCGTATAATGTGCACTTTTGTTTTCTGAACATCACAGGTTTTTTAACAGTGCCAATTTCGAATAAAGAAAGAGGCCACCCTGGGAGGTCAGTAGCACATTTTCAATGTATAGTTGCAATTCCTAAAGGGTATCATTTCGCAGTGGAAAGGAAAACAAGGAACAATCTTGGTTCCGCAGCCCTCTTTACTCAAGAGAAAAGCATATAGTTAGTTGGATTCTTGTGTAGAAAATGCTTCCAATCACTGGCTGAGTAAGGAAGAAGCTTTTAGTTTGATTAATTTGGCAAAATGAAATGCAGCATAAGGTGTTGCTGGAGAAATTGGACAATATGTAGCGTAGTTGAGCCTCTGTAGCTCCTAAGATTCTCATAGGTACAGATAACAGTGTCAAAGTTTCTCAGCGCCTGAGAAAAGGTATATGTTCATCCATAAATATATACACCACCTGTGTATACATATTCATCACTTCTACACAGCAAATGCCACAATGGAAACTTAGGAGACAAAGCACTCTTGTAAAGGACAGCTTGCTTCAGGATAGATGCATAGATCCTGCACCTGAAACTGATTCTGGCTGAAGACAGTTCCTTCTGATTTTAAATCCAGCCAGAAAGATAGGCTCTATTGGATGACAACATGACTCTGAGAAATGATTACTTAGTTTAGAAGACAGCATTGCAATTAAAAATTCATGACTGTAGAATTAAAAAAAAAAAAACCCACTTTCTCCTTCCAGGCTTATGTCAGACTTGCAATGAAGTTAGAATGAACCCAAATCTGCAGCGTTTCAGTTCCTGGGATAACTATAGTTTTCAGATCATTGTGTAAAATCATATTTTTAGTTGGCGTGCGTGCTACTAACTTCCTAGTTAACAGAAACTTTTTGCATTTTGGCAATCCGTGGAGTTTTATTTTGCTGAATTTTTTTTTAAAAATGCATTTATAATCTCCTGGAAAGGATTTTCCCTCACTTCCTGGCATGACCTCTGCTAGATCATTATTTCTCACCAGCCAAGTAGCAAAGGAATATGACGTCTGAGACCTCCCTTCCCTCATCAGTGGCGCTGACTGAGCTGGGGGTTTGAAATCAGGGGTGACCTTTTGTGTCTCATGTTCTCTTTAGAGAATGGCAATGGTCTCTGCGATGTCCTGGGTGCTGTACTTGTGGATAAGTGCTTGTGCAGTGCTGCTCTGTCATGGGTCCCTTCAGCACACCTTCCAACAGCACCACCTGCACAGACCAGGTAAGTCGGGGGCTGGCTCCCCGCAGCCTCCCCCACATCCACATTCACCCTGTCTCCTTAACAGATGGTTGAATGTAAGTGACAGAAAGTGCTATGGTGTGGGCAGCTTGCCTCGGAGTTTCAAGACATATTATTGGCTGGGTACTCCGGGGCAGGAGAGTATACCAAAATGCCTTGGAGGTCTTTCTATTTATTTCTCGAAAAACTGGGTTTCTCTAAAGGACCCCTCCACACACCTCCATAAATAGAAGTCCTTTGTTGTTTTTCCATGCTTTGGCCAATAGCACCACACTGTGTAAAAGGTGGCAGATAACTTTCAAGACTTGAGCATTGGGGCGGGGGGTCATGTAATCTCGGCATGTCTACTCCTGGAGTTTTCTCACCTAGAGCAGGTACTGTAACGTCAGTCTCTGTGAGGCTAAGGACTCTGCAGATGTTAGTCTTCAAACTAACTTTAGAAGGAAGTTGTCAATGAAAGAAATTCAAAAGTGACTTACTATTGCTTGTGTGGTTTAATTGGCCTCCTTTCCTCTCTACTTTCTGTCCTTCTAGCGTGTTCAGTGGCTTTTTCTTTTGTCTCTCTGGCTCGTTCTCTTTTGAAATTCTTTTTTGTTTTTCTTCTCCCTTTTGGCAGTTTCAGGAACAAATTTCTCCTCCACAGACTTTTTTGCTTTTTCCGCATAGAATTTTTAGTCCTGGGTTCGTTCTGCGTTCGTCGCCTGCCTGTTTAAAGCATGTTTCTGACCCTCCCCTGGCCTCCAGTCCTCTTCTTCCTGTCCCTCCCAGCTCCATTGTGCTTGCCTTCCCGGGAGTTCCCTTTAGCTTGGGTCCTGCGTCCTTTCACTCCGTCCCCTCCCGCCGGCCCGCCCCGCTCCTGGTGGTCAGGTCGGGCCTCTGGGGACCAGTTGCGCGCCCAGTTCCCGAAGATCCTCCGTTCGGAGCGCTCCGGCCCTCCAGCCCCGCCGCAGATCCCTCGCTCCCCTGCCGGTATCCACCCTGCTTCCTCCTGCTGCGGGCCCAGGGTCCACGCCTTCTCTCCCCGGCTCCAGGGCAGGGCCGAATACCCGCCCCGGGCTCCGAGGCACCACCCTGGGAGCCGGCTCCAGGGTCCTCGCGCTGCCTCCAGGGCGCAGCTTCCAGGCTGGGCGAGGCTCGGCGAGCGCGCCGCACCGGTCCCTTCGCGCGCTGCAGGCGAGCGCGGGCCGGCGGGGCTGGGGAGCCGGGTGCGGGCGGCCTGTGCGGGGGCCCCGGCCACCTTCCTTCCCCTGCCCGGGGTCAGGGAACGAAGGCCAGGGGGCGCGGGTGCCCCTGCAGGTGGGCATGGAAACCGCGCTGTCTCTGCCGCCCACTCGTATTTCTGTGTCCTGTGTCCAGAGCCTGGCGCGGGGGAGGGAATGCAAACGTGGATGTGGGGTTCCCTGTGTCCCCGCTTTACCTCCGGTACTTAATCACTGATTTGTTCACCAAGAACTGTTCTGACAGTCTTACAGATACTGCGGGAGGTCTGCCTTCCTTGTGTATCCCAACAGTAAGAATTCCTGATAGAAACCCTACTAACTCCGGTGGTTTAGACACTGTTCTTAGGGTGAACTCACGAGTTAAGTTCCTACGGAAGTGAGGGTAATGCCTAACCCCTTCGCCCGGGAAGAAGTTCCGAGGGGCTGGTTAACTTCACTGAGGCAGCAAAGCCAGTAGCTGCCCTTGGAAGTCCAGGGGGCCTGATTTCACCTCCAGCGCTGTGTCCAAGGGAGGGGAAAATGACCAGGCCCAGTGTCCTCTCTGAGGAGGTGAATCAGATAATATTCATGTAATTTGCGAAAACTTTCAAATTATGGAATGCCTGGAGCAGCAAACCCATTCTGAGAGGAGACAGAGGCAGAGCTGGAGAGGACAGCAGAGTTCAGGGCTGGCCCGTCACCTGAGATGACACGACCTTGGCCCGGGGGCTTTTCTTCTGGGAGCTGGTTTCTCTGCCTGGAGATGTGCTGGGGATTAAATAAATGAACTTTCAAGAAAGTGTTTGCAAACTGTAAAGTTCTTCATCAATGTCAGGAATCACTGATGTCCCACTTAATGGATGACAACCTGCAAGACAGATGTTGAGTTAGTCTTCCCTTAATCTACACAGCTAGGACGGGACACTGCTTTCTGTCTTTCCTTTGTTGTTGTTGTTGAGTTAAACCAGGTATATATGCCTAGAACATACCACCGGATGCTCTGTCTTATTTTATCTTCTGTGTGTGTAATCCTAAAGTAGACACACTTCAGTTTGCAAAAGCTTTCTCGTAGATTATCTCTACTAACCAGTGAGTGTGCTCTTTTTTGGTGGGAGGTTACGGCTGTTTTGGGTAATAAATAAACGTGTCTTCCTAGAGATTATTATTAAGATATCATACTTTTAAACCCAGACTCATATTGCGTTCTGACGGGAAATTAAATGCTATGTTTATTTTTTCAGTTGTCTGTCTTAGAATTTACTGATTACTAACAGAGGCATAGTCAGACTGTACGTTGGATACCCCAACAAACTGTAGCATTGAAATCAATTTCAGCCACAAGTGCTTACATGCTTGAGAACCGTCTTTGCTTCACTGCTGAAAAGAAGAAACTATAAATATTCCTTTTAAGATGCAAAGAGATTAAAATGATATTAAACTGAAAGTCCAGTGGTTCAGGGTAATAGAGTTATTCAACTTTCTTGATTTGGGGGGACAATAACTGCAGAGATTAAAGTGATAGATCTTGGTCATAGCAATATTCTTGATTATTTCAGCCAGACTCTAATTCAATCTTCTGTTTTGATTTTAGGGGTGAGACTATGCCTTTTTTGATGAGAGCTGTGACGTTTTTCTTTGTGGGTCTTAAATCTTCCGGGACACTAATGAAATGTGTATGAAAACAAGAGAGAAATCAGGGCCAGTTATCTGTGACAATCCACCCCTAAATGAGCAAATAAATAAATAAATAGCTGGATAAATGAGCAAAAAGGAAAAAACATAATCTCATTTTCTCAGATCGGTTAAAACAAGTGACATGATGAAAAAAAATGAGACACCAGCAGACCCTGAGCTTTGCTACATTTGCCTAAGCTTGAAAAATCGCCCCTTTCATAAAGCAAGAGCAAGCAGACTCGGTGCGCATACCAAGTATCCAGGAAATGTGCAAAATAACAAATCTTTCACTCAGGGACGAGTGGGGGAGTGAAGGTTTTATAGTTGCCCTCACCTGCCTAGGAATGGCCGCCCTTCCCCCTCCCACCAGCCCCTTCCAGGCAGCTCCCCGTCCCCTCTGGAGTAAGATTGACGGTGCTCCAATTGCGAGCAGCCAATTTCAGTCTTTCAAGAAATAATCCACTACGCTGACAGATGAGTGGAATTTGACGCTATGTTCCCCTCCTTCAGACTGGGCTGCACTTAGATGGCACCAGCCAGTCAGGGTCTGTTAGGGGAAACAGAGATTTGGGCCAATTTCTGCTGTCGTACATGAGGTGGGACAGTGCTTTTGTGAGGCCATGAATTTGTGATCTGTCTTCTCAATGCAGTGAGTTTCTACACAAACAGAATGAAAATATGTTCACTAGAAAATGGACTGGTTTTAATGTATTCGCCTGCAGTCTCTAAGTACTTCCTATTTTTCATATTTATAGTATTAGGAATGCACCATTTATTTTCAGTTACTCACTAGTTAAGGAAGATTAAAATAGTCAATCAAATGAAAGTGAATTTTAACATTACATAAATGAGTGAAATGTACTACGGATTAGCAGATACGTAATTTCAATAATTTAGTATTTAGCTAGATCAAGTTTTTATTTGGGGAATGATGTAGGAAGTTACCATAACAACTTGAAGAATGTCTGTTCCTCTTCCTCTTTTTTATTTTTTTTCATTCTAAAGCCATAGGAAGGACACTTAATTTAAAAAAGACAGACTGAACAATGAAAGCCCAAAAGTGGTGTTCTTATTGTTTCAGGTAATTAAAATAGCTTCCAATCTTTAGAACTACCAGTATTTGTGCACAGGGAAGAAAGGATGATATTGCTAAATGTAACTTTTGATTGGAGTTGCTTCTCTTTATGGATATATAAATTATGACAAGAGTTTTAATGGTTACTTAATTTTGGTTGTGTGGGTTGATGTGTGCAGGGTGTCCTTGAAACTTAATAAAATATGGATTATCTCAAAATTCTTTAGCAAGAGAAGAATCCTCGGGATTCTTTAGTAATTTAAAATTACACAGATAAATTACATGAGATAAGGAGTTATAAGTATCTAATGAATCATTTATTCTTCAGTCACTGTTATTTTATTGACGGGGGTGTATGAAAATGATATATAAAAAGATTACTCTGAATAGAATTGTCTATATAATTTATACTTGACAAGATTTAAAGCTATATTAAGCAAACTATGTATGTTAGAAGTATTCATTTATGACTTCATTATTATAGACCGAACATCACCATCCATTGTAAAGTGTGGTATTTTTTGTTAAATTACTCAGAAACATTCTTACATGCCTTACATTTATTTTTACCTTGCCATTCAACACTACCTTTATAGAAAACTACTTAAAGAATATGCCTCAGAATACCAAGATACACTGCAGTAAAGGGTTGTTTTATACTCTTAATATAAAAGAAATAGTGTGTACAACAGTGTTCACATATTGGGTTTTTAACAATTCCTACCCAAGCAAGGTTGCTAAGCGTAGTGAATTGGTCTAAAGATTAGAGCAGACAGGTTGTTATTTCATGTAAACTGGTGCTAGTAATAATCCATTGATCATCTGATTGATGATATTGACCTCATCCTAAAGTCAGAGTGCAACTATGGACATATGAGAAAGCCTAAAATATCAAAACAAAGTAGGGATGAAAATAAATTTCTCCCATCAGCCCATGAATTTTTAAGAAAATGGTTAAAATACTACATTAAGTGAGTACTGATTGAGCTTAAGCCTATGGCTTCAATTAATTCATAGTTGGAAACAGTGTTATA